ACCGAAGGCCCCACTGGCTGCGTTGGCATGACGGCGCCGCACCCATTTCGGCACACGCCTCACACGTTTCGTGGCCCCATAGGGAGCTCCACCGAAGGCCCCAGCGGCTGCGTTCGCATGGCGGCGCCGCACCCATTTCGGCACACCCCTCACACGTTTCGCGGCCCCATAGAGAGCTCCACCGAAGGCCCCAGTGCTACCGCCCTCATGCGTCCCGCACGCCCAGGACAGCGTTTCGTGGCACGCCTTGCGTGGCCCCATAAGGAGCTCCACCGAAAGCGGCACCCACAAAGCGTTATTCACAATTGCATATGGTTGGGCCATTCGCCAAGATAATTTTGATAATTTTTGCACGAAAAAAGCCCCAGCGTTTGTTGTCAGGGCTGATCGCGCATCGCATTAAATCGCCTACGCAGCGATTGTATATTAGACACAAACGCGTTCCCAGATGCAGGCTACGCCTCAAACCCAACGGCGTAGGCTTGATGTGCCGAGCAGCATGCACTGACTGTCGCTCGCAGCAACCTCCGCTTCGTGGCAGCCTGCTCTCAGGCATCGCACTTCCGAGTTAGCGCTCGGCAGCGGGGGGCGGTGCGATGTGCGACCTTGTGTAGAGCTCCTCGAGACCCCATCGCCCGCTCGCCCGCCCGCTCCTGGAACCTGTCCCCGACTTCAACTTTGACCGACTTGGTCATCCAACGATTATGCTCTGCACTCCACCACCTGGTCCTCAAGCAGGCCATGGAACTCATCAAAAACTTGGGTTTCGTTCGCAATGGGCACTGGATTCGCCGAACTCGCTGAGCTTGCCGACGCTGGCTTCATCGCCGGCAAGTCCATATTCGAAGGCGATCGCTCGACCCACAACGTGGTGCGATCCTGGGCATTGGTGAGGACGTCGGTGAACTTCACGCCGCCAGTCGCCTCGACCGAGATCGCGGACCATGCGGGGATCTCGTCGCGGACCTCCCTCCTGGCCACCTTCAGGGGCCGGGTGCGACCGTCCTCGTGTTGGGTCTCGCTGTAGCCAAGTGACCTCTTCAACTCGGCGCTCTTCAACAGTTTCTCCACGTTCAAGTTGGTGGTCGGCGATGTGCTCGGTCATCTTGAGGCCACCGCTCAAGAACTTCGCGAAGCGCTTGTCCCCCTTGTCAAGGCAGACGAGCTTCTTCTTGCCATTGGTGCAAGCCACTGGCATCCAGCTCGCACGTGTCGGTGCCTGGCCCATGGCAATGGCGACTTGTTCTGCGATGGTGGCCATCGCTCTGATTGGAAGGCGACTCCACTGAAACCCTCAGAGCTTGAGCCAAAACGGCCACGGGCAAATGGTGTTGCATTAGGCTTGACACTCGTGAGTTTGTTGCGGACTTGTCTCTGCCCGCGACGTCGGAAGGGCGGCGGGGGCGGGGGCGGGGGGGGGCGAGGGGGATGGGGAATATTATGATAACTACGAAGAGAATGGGGAGGATCACGAGAGGTGGGGCATATGAGGATAGGTGGATGAGGCAGGGGTAAGGTCGCAGGCGCCACCCTGCGGCGGCCTCATCTGCGAGCGTTCTCGCGTGGGGCGGACCAGGACCCGTCGGCCCCTCTTGCGCCCCGTATCTATCCTATGTTGTTGTTGCGTGCTGGTCCTCCTCCTCCTCCTCCCCCCCCCCCCCTCATCCCCCCCCTCATCGCCCCCTTCCCCCCGCTCCTATATTTTTTCTGACTTTTTCGAGTGCAAGCCGCCACGCATGTATTTACCCTACAGCAGCGCCACAGACCTGTCCCACATGTCTGCCCAGGGCTGCACGAATAATGCACGATCCGACAGGGGGGGCCCCAACGCCCCGCTGACAACGCTCGCGCGCTATAGCGAGAGCGGGGCAAAGCTTGGGGCCGACGCACACCAGCGTCGAAGAACATTAAACATGCCTAGATTCGGACAGGCGCCGCACTTCACGCTAGGAGCTCCCTGCGCGAATGTGCTCTTAGTCAACCGAGACAACTATCGAACGCTTACTGCACCCATGCCCCCGTCCTCGCATGACTAGACCCCCCCCCCATACTGCGCCGCTACCCCCCTCCCGCCTCATCGAAGCTTGGGCACGCTCCGAAAAAAAAGAGAGGCAGGCATGGTCCTGGGCGCATGCCAGCATGGGGCCAACGAAGGAGGGGATAGCAATCGAGTGCTCTGCAGGCTTCTGATCAACCCCTGCTAGAGAAAAAAGGGGCGAGGAGAGACCTGCTGTCAACTACTCATCACGATCAACCGTCTGCCTCCTGTTTGGCTCAAGGTCCACGGCGCGGGCTTTGTGCAGAGTGGCCCGTGCAGCTACGTTGCGCGAATTGACCGACGCTGGCGCGGGCGCGTCGACCGTTGTCTCGAAGAGCTCTCCTTTTCCACTCGCCCCCCTGTCAGAGACGAGGACCTTCGCCTTGACTGCGTCAGCAACCACATTAGACTGCGCGCTGTCTCCTGCTGTCTCTACACACCAGAAGGGGCGCGCAAAATGGTGGAAACTCGACCTTTGGAACAAGCCGTGCGATGGCGCGCTTACCGCCGCCATCCTTGCAATCAAAGACGCCCACAATGACGCGGAGGTTCGGGCTCTTTGACCCAGTCTGAATGCTGGGTGCGAGGAGGGCAAGCACTAGCTGGCCCTTCTTGTAGGCTACATCTGCTGCCGCCCCTGTCGGCGCCCATCGGTTGCCCGGAGTGCCCATCGCAACGGCCACTTCGGTTGAAGACTCCCGCGTTGCGCGCGCCGGGCCCAAAGCGACGCGCAACGCTGCTTTGCCGCGCTCCATGCTGATGTCCTCGCGCCCCTGGAAAGGATGAGCTTGCCCGGAGAAACATGGGGGCCCGGAAACATGGAAACGAGATTTCGCCCGGAGAAACCAGATGAACAATGGACCTCGCCCCCCCCCCCCCCCCCCCCCCTCCCATTCACCTGCTGGCTCCGCCGCCCCACTTCAAAGACGCAGGGCGAAGCGTCCTGGATCGCCGCCGCGGCCTCGGTGCGGATGCTGAACTCGGTCTGCTCATGGACGAGCTGAGATATATTTCCATGCCCCTCCCCCCCCCCCCCTGCGCATCGCCCCCCCCCGATCCTTTTCTCCGGGCGGGGCGGGGCGGGGCGGGGTGGGGTGGGGTGGGGCGGGGGGCAAGAGGAGGAGCTCTTCCCCCTCGGGAGACAGAAGTAAGCCCTCGTACTTGTCCAGCGCCGCGGCGACTGTGACCTCCACGAGGTTGGAGTCGTCGACGTTCTCGCACTGCTTCTTGCCCTGCCTCGTGGGCTTGGATTCCCGGGGCGTTGCAATGGGCTGGATCGCGACCCCCCCCCCCCCCCCCGATGCTCACGATTCGGCAGGTGCCCTCCTGCTCGCCATCCTCTGGGGATTTTTTCCGCACGATTATCGAGCCCACGTTTAAACCGTTCTTGCCCAGCTCGCCCGTGTCCACGCCAGCGGTGGCAAACTGTTTGATGCCGGAGACGCTCGGATCAACGCCTTTCGTCGCGGTCAGGGGCCGCAGGTACGAGCTAGGAGGCGGGCGGGATACAAAGGGCACGGCCTCGATCACATCCGTCATGAACTGGCTCTTGATATCTGAAAGGCTCTTGTACTCAACCAAGTTCTTGGACTTCTTTTTGGGGATGCGGTGCGCGCACCTGGTCTCCAGCTCGCTCGCGAGCGTCTCCTTCGCCGACGCGCCCGCAATCAGTGAATCGAAGAAACGCCTCGCTGACTCCATCATGAGCTGCGCCTCAACACATTTACCCTTGTTTGAGCCAGCAATCGCCTGGACATCCAAGCCCAGGGGCAGTTTTGAGACATTGCCATCGCGTGCACGGTTATCTGGTGCTCGGAGAGAGGCCTTGACCAAAGCGGTAACGTAGTTGGGGCCCGCCGCCCAGTCCAGCGCTGACAACGCCTTGAAGAGCGCAGCGGGCAGGTCCATCCTGCCATGCAGAAGCGAGCGAGAGAAAGTGGGCAATTGATCGAGATGCGCTGGATCGTCTCCTCCACTCCATTTGGAAACAAACTGGCACACTGGTTCAGCGCGCCCTTCCAGGTCAGGGTACTTCGCCTCCAATTCAGAAGCAATCATGTCGCGCTTGCAGTCCTGGGTGTCTTCTCGTTCCCCCCATCCTCCTCCGCCCCGCCCCCCCCCCCCCCCCCCCCCCCTCCCATCCCTCCTATCCCTCTGCCCCCCCCCCCCCCCCCCATCCTCCACCTCCCCCTCCTCCTCATCCCTTCTCATTCTCTTCTGTCCTCCTCCCTCTCCTCCCTCTCCTCCATCCCCTCCCTCTCCTCCATCTTTATCCTTATACTTATCTAATTCCTCCTTCTCCCCTTCTTCTCCCCCCCCTTTCCCGCCTCCTTCTCGTCCTCGCGGCCTCCTCCGCCCCCCCCCCCCCCCCCCACACACACACACACACACGCACAACACACACACACCACACACACACACACACACACACACACACACACACACACACACACACACACACCACACACACACCACCCCACCCTCCCTCCTCGTCCCCCCCGCCCCCCCCCCCCCCCCCCCCCTGCAAGAGCGCTGTCCTCGAGGGCCCGATAGTTCGCCATCGCTTTGCTGTGGGTAGTCTAACACCTGGCACTTGGTAGGTACTCGTTCACTCCCATGTCCCGGATTGCCAGCTTCGGGCAACAAGTTCACGAGGCGCGGCATGCGCTGCGACACCTGATGGCGCACTATGTCCCGTTTGATGCCCCTGCCCGCTGCCTCCTTGTAGCTCGAGGACTTCGCGCCAATCACCTATGCTGCGTTTCTTGTCGGGCGTGCACAAACTCGCATGCGGGGGCAGCGTGCCACTGCCAGCGCACGGAATGCCCGCGTTAGTGCGCGAACACGTGCGCGTCAAGATCTCCAAGTTTGCAGCCAGCGTCTGTGGCAAGAAGCCTTTCGCTTGTAGGTAAAGCTTGTTCTGGAACTCGAGCTACTCCACGCCCTCCGTTCCTGGGGGCACCTCGATCGCCCATGCGCGTCTGCGCTCGATGTACGACCAGCCCTGCTTGATGATGCGCAACATGAGGTCGTGCGCGTCGATGACGTCCACGCCCTGTGCTGCGCGGTTCTGCGGGTGAGGACCCGCTTGCTCCGGAGTCTTCGCTGCCTCGTACATCAACTTGTGCTCTTTCAGCATCTTGACAAGACCATTTGCTACCACCTTCTTCTGTGCCCTGCCGGTGCCGTACTCGTTCTCGTCGATAGTGGCATTCACCTTCGGAGAGACCAACTTACACGCTGCCACAATCGAAGCGTCCATCGGTCGTGACGCGCAATGGAGTCTGCAGAAGGAGGCACCCTGCTCAAAATTTCTTGAACCCAGATGGCTATACGGGAAGACAACCCACGACTAGACCCCCTGAAAAAAAAACAACCTTTTGGAAGAGTGACAAGCTCTTGATTATTTCCCCTTTGCTATCAGACAGAAAATCCGAGTCCAACATGATCCCTCGATAGGCCCACGCGCATCCGAAGTGAAGGTATTCACAGGCCAGCTGGGACGGCTAAGTCCCACGCTATCTAGATATAACTGCCACCCTAGACTTCCGCAGCTTAGTTTATCCTGGCTATATAGCGGCGTCAACTTAGAATGACACATGCAACATAGTATTCGCTGCAGCCACATGTACGTACTTTACAAGCAAAATGGGTAAACGATGGGTCCAACTTACTATCTAGGCCAACTCCACTATGTTCGAACCAACCCAAACGGTGATCTCAGTACCACGAAATGTTCTTAGAACCCAAACATCTTCTGAAACAAACCAATGTTCTTTGAACATAAAACTGATGTGTTAAAACACGACAGCCCCAGCAACCAATGTTCTGATAACATGACATGGAAACCACAAGAGGTTCTCAGAACATCCTTTGGTGGGCCGATCGGCACGCCACGACGCTTCGCCACTGCTTGAGGACATCAAGACACGCCGCCTACCGTTAGGTCGGGCCTGCCCCCCTCCAGGGGATTTTGGGTGCATGATAAAAATACCATCCAAATGCTCCCAAATTATTCAAACATAATCAAACCTCGTCCCCATAGTAGTTTTACCGAACAGCGAAGACTGATAGGTTTCTAGTAGGGTCAAAAGAAAGCATCATGACGCCCCAGGGGTGTCTGGGCGCGATACGGGGAGATGCCGGGGATTTGTTTTAAGTCAACAGTTACACACTTCGTGGTCTTCGAGGTCCCAGAACTCCATTCCTGGGCCACATTCTGAATGCCCGGAGCCAACTGTAGGCCACTTCGTGGTCTTCGAATTCCCAGAACTCCACTCCTGGGCCACATTTTGAATGCCCGGAGCCCACTGTAGGCCACTTCGTGCTCTTCGAGTTCCCAGAACTCCATTCCCGGGCCACATTTTGAATGCCTGGAGCCAACTGTAAGCCACTTCGTGGTCTTCGAGTTTCCAGAACTCCATTCCTGGGCATGATTTTGAATGCCCGGAGCCAACTGTAGGCCACTTCGTGTTCTTCGAGATCCCAGAACTTCATTCCCGGGCTACATTTTGAATGCTGAGGCAGGCTGATGCTGAGGCTGAGGCAGGCTGAGGCTGAGGCAGGCTGAGGCTGAGGCCGAGGCTGAAGGCAGACTGAGGCTGAGGCTGAAGCAGGCTGAGGCAGGCTGAGGCTGAGGCTGATGCAGGCTGATGCTGCAGGCTGAGGCTGAGGAGGCTGATGCAGGCTGAGGCTGAGGGCTGAGGCTGAGGCCGAGGCTGAAGGCAGACTGAGGCTGAGGCTGCAGGCTGAGGCTGAGGCTGAGGCAGGCTGAGGCTGAGGCAGGCTGAGGCTGAGGCTGAGGCAGGCTGAGGCTGAGGCAGGCTGAGGCTGGCCGAGGCTGAAGGCAGACTGAGGCTGAGGCTGAAGCAGGCTGAGGCTGAGGCTGAGGCAGGCTGAGGCTGAGGCTGAGGCAGGCTGATGCTGAGGCAGGCTGAGGCTGAGGCTGAGGCTGATGCAGGCTGAGGCTGAGGCAGCCTGAGGCTGAGGCCGAGGCTGAAGGGACTGAGGCTGAGGCTGAAGCAGGCTGAGGCTGAGGCTGAGGCAGGCTGAGGCTGAGGCTGCAGGCTGATGCTGAGGCTGAGGCAGGCTGCAGGCTGAGGCTGAGGCAGGCTGAGGCTGAGGCCGAGGCTGAAGGCAGCTGAGGCTGAGGCTGAGGCTGCTGAGGCTGAGAGGCTGAGGCTGAGGCTGAGCTGAGGCTGCAGGCTGAGGCTGAGGCAGGCTGAGGCTGAGGCGAGGCTGAGGGACTGAGGCTGCAGGCTGGCTGAGGCTGAAGGCAGACTGAGGCTGAGGCTGAAGCAGGCTGAGGCTGAGGCTGAGGCAGGCTGAGGCTGAGGCTGAGGCAGGCTGATGCTGAGGCAGCTGAGGCTGAGGCTGAGGCTGAGGCTGAGGCTGAGGCTGAGGCAGGCTGAGGCTGAGGCCGAGGCTGCAGGCAGACTGAGGCTGAGGCTGAGGCTGAGGCTGAGGCTGAGGCAGGCTGAGGCTGAGGCAGGCTGAGGCTGAGGCTGATGCAGGCTGAGGCTGAGGCAGGCTGAGGCTGAGGCCGAGGCCAACGGCAGACTGAGGCTGAGGCTGAGGCAGGCTGAGGCTGAGGCTGCTGGCTGAGGCTGAGGCAGGCTGAGGCTGAGGCAGGCTGCTTAGGCTGAGGCTGATGCAGGGTGAGGCTGAGGCAGGCTGAGGCTGAGGCCGAGGCTGAAGGCAGACTGATGTTGAGGCTGAAGCAGGCTGAGGCTGAGGCTGAGGCAGGCTGATGCTGAGGCAGGCTGAAGCTGAGGCTGAGGCAAGCGGAGGCTGTGGCTGTGACTGCGACTGCCGTTACCGCTGCGACTGTCATCGCGAATGCGACTACGACTGCGAGAACAGCAGAATTCTACAACAAGATTCTCATCTGAATCTTAAGGGGAATGCTTCCAGATATGCTCCTACACATCGCTGTTAGGTTGCTTTGCCGGGATAATTTAAACTATTTTTGAATGTTCCCCCTGTAGAGCCTGTAGAGGGACAGGCCCGACTTGAGCCTAACCTGAGGAACGCGAAATCAGGAACGAGGCCCCTTTTTTCCCTAGGAGTAACGCACAAGGAACGATAAATCCGCCGACCCTGTCGGCGTGTGGAAGAGGCTGTTCCGATTGACTCGTCGTCGTCGTCGTCGTTGTCGACGTCGTCGTCGTCGCCTTCGCCGCTCGCTTCCCCCCTTTTCCCTAGGCCGTCGCCGTTCCCCCCACTCTCACCGGGTTCTCCTCCTCGAGCGCGCCAGCCACAGCGAAGCGAAATTGAGCAACGTTGTAGTTGAATCGAAAGGAAACCCCTTCCCTTTTATCCCTTCCCCGCTGGGGAGGGGGGGGTCGCGGGGGTGAGGTCCTGGGGGGGGGTCCCCGGGGGGAGGGCGCCCGGGGGGTCCCGTGGGAGGGGTCCCGGGGGGATCCCCGGGCAGATATGACTCCCCCTCGGGCGGTTGTGCGGCTACGAAAAGCCGCAGGACGTGGCAAAACTGCCCCAAGATGCCCCCAAGACGGTCCTCGAGGGCTCCGAATCGCCAAAGTATCGGTCCACGTCGCCAAACTAGCCTCCAGACGGAAAAGGTTTCCAGTGAACGCCCCAAGAGGCCTCAAAGAGGACTTCCAAGAGGGTCCCAAGGGGCAAACATAATCGATTTCCATTATTGTCTCAAAGACTTCGGCACTCTCGCCTTGTCAGCTTCCCGACGCTCCAAGACAGGCCAAAGAGCCCCCAAGACCGCCCCAAGATGGCCCAAGAGGCCTCCAAGAGAGGGCCCCAAGACCGACCAAGAGGCCTCCAAGACAGCCGAAGAGGCCACCAAGACGGCTCCAAGGAGGAGCCCAGAAAGAGACCCGAACGGACATTTCGAGCCCTCGGCCTGAGAAGCTCTCAGAAGGCCCCCAGAGGTCCCTAAGAAGCCCCCAAGAGACCCCCAGGAAGCCGCAAGAGGACCCCACGAGGCTTCCAAGCGGCCCCCAAGAGCTTCTCAAGAGGCCCCCAAACTACCCCCAAGAGACCCCCGACAGCGCTCGTCGCCGTCGTCGCCATTCAGCGTCGGCGGCTCCGGCCGCAAGGCCTCCGCAATAATGAAGAACGCGTTTTCTGTACGACACATGACGCGTGCAAGCCTGAGGAACGACCGAGCCCCTTTTGGAAAGCCGGTGCTCCTCACTTGAGCCGCTCACTGTGCACCGCGGACAGATGGGCGATGGGCTCCCGAGAGCGACACCGCGCGGCCCTGGGCGGGGTGGGCCCTCGGGCCCCCCCAGGCGATCCGTGGGCGACGGGGGGCCGAGGCGCCCCCACCGAGCCCTCCCCCCGCGTCGTTGGCCCTCGGGTCACGACTCGGGCCTGCGGCGGGCGTGCGGGGCGATCCGGGCAGCCCCGGAACGCCCTCGGCGAGGCGCTGCTGTCGGAGCGCATCCCGAGACAGGGAGGCCGCCGAGAGCGTCCGGGGCGTCCGCCAGCCGTGGGCCTCGATGTCCTCGAACCTTCGTCAGCCCTGAGCCTATCCCCCCCCAACGTTGCCTCTGAACACCTCTCTACGACTGGGCCGATTCCGATTGTAGCGGCCTCCTCCTCCTCCTCCTCCTCCTCCTCCTCCTCCTCCCCCTCCTCCTCCTCGACAGCGCCCGCTGTTAGGCAGGCGACTCTCTGCCTCAAACGGACACCGCCCACGGCGACACCGACGGCGAGACCTGATCAAGATGGGCAGGAACTGCTGACGGCCTTCGTCCCCCTTCTTCCGCACCGGGAGCGGGGCGTTGACCTAAGGAACCCAAAATAAGGATCGAGGCCCCTTTTTTCCATAATTTAAACTTCGATTTCCGATCGAAAACATAAGGAAAACCTCAGGCAAGCTGCGAAACACATGAGGAACGCGGAGCCCCTCCCCAACGAGAAGGGTTCCTTCTTCAGGGCCCCGACTGTACCCCCCCCTCCACTTGGAACTCCAGAAGGGTTCGGGTCTCTTCCCTTTGGGCGTGGCTTAATGGGGGGGTCACAAATGGGGGGGTCAGAAAAGGTCCCCTTTCGTGCCCCTTTCGGGCCCCTCCAGAGCCCCAGGGGGCTCGTTTAGGTACCATTTGGGTACCTTTTCGGACCACAATCGCCGCCCCCCCATTTATGATCCCCCCATTACGCGGCGCCCAATCCCTGGGACCGTCTCTTCATCCCGGTTCTTTTTTCTGTTGGGGCATGCTGTTAGCGATGCTCGCGTCACGCCAGCAGGGTCGGAGCCGCATTCGGTCGTCGGAGCCCGCC